ATAAAAAAACCAAGCTTATTCTATGTAAATTTTAAAATTAAAGTTGATAATTTTTGTTTTATATTTGAATTATTTAGACAAAAATACAATGTTTGATTTTTTTATTAATTTAATTAAATTTTAAGCTTAAAAAGAAAAAAAAGGTTTGCCCTTATCATGTTATCGATTTTTCTACAACTTTTTTGTTGCGCCCATCAAAAGGCCAGTTCTGATGAATCACAGAATATCTGTCAACAGTTATGTTCATTTGTTAATAGTCGGTTGGATTGTGAGGAATATTTTTTACTAAGAAAATCTTCGAAGAGTTTGTATACTTGTGTGGAAATTCGTGATGAATTTTTTTCGTGTTTTTATTGGAATTTTGAGATGCAAGAGATTGAAGGGCATATGTTTGAAGTTGTTTGCACTGGGGATATGCTAGCAACCGAGATTGGAGCTCTTATGCTAGCAACCAAGATTAGAACTTTTTGCATGGTTTTTTTAAATCTTTTAATGTTGATAATGTTTTTGTTTATGCAACAAGGAATGGTCCTAATCATTTATGCAAGAAGGGTGTGCAGGAGAAATTAATCAATGCATTAAGAATGCTGTCGTGTGGAGAATCGGGACCGAAATACTATTTTAAAGGGTATGTGTCCGACGAGTTAAGCTTAATAGCTAGGACCAGGAATAAAAATAATGAATGGGAAAAACAATTAGAGGATTTTTGTATTGGAGGCAATTTAGACATAAGATTGGATGTCGATAAGGATTTTTATTTCGTGTTTGACATAGATTTAAGCTATTTCAACTATAAGTTAATGCTTAAATACTATGCAAATGCAATCTTCGGGTATCTTGATGGCATGGGTGGTGAGATTTTCTGTAAATTTTTATCTAATTTTGATTTTGTTTATTCATATAATATCAAAGTATTAGTTGGTGAAATGGTATTAGATAGACGTGATCTATTAAATTTAAAAAAGTTGTCCTGTGAAGAACGTAAGGAAAAATTGTTGTTAAAAGAGGGAAGCTGCAGTACGAAACTATCGTTTGAATGTGCATATGCCTGTCTTGAATGGATTGATAAGATTTCTGAACAAGATAGTCGTTACGAGAAATACATTGAAGAAATTGAAGAAAGCGAAGGGTTAGAAAAGATTTTGGTTTTTATGTTTTTAATATCAAGGCAGGAGATATTTAAGCTTTTACTAGCACATGTTCTTAGTAGTGAACCTAACTTTAAAAAATCTCTGCTTGCCGAAGTTTTGTTCCAATTAAATGCTATTGACGAAGATACAATGGAAAATCTACTTCAAAGAAAGAATTTATTAAATTTGCAGTCATGGAAGGAAAAAATTGATGACGAGTTTTTAGCGCCTTTATTAAGATTGACTAATATGCTTCCGTTTCATAGCACATTAATAAGATATTTATTTGTAATTTTGTTTGCAGAAATGAATTCGTTAGAAAAAGATTGTAAAGAAGTAAAAGATTTCTTAAGTACATGCCACTCGGACTATGAAAAACTTTCGGTAGGTTTTTTGAAAAGTTTAGAACTTCTTCAGCCAGATCATCCTTTAGTTAAGAATTTTTCGGTGACGTCATCCGGAAAATTTTCCCTTTTACATAAAATTATTTTATTAACTTCTAGCGATTACGAGCTAAGTTTTACGAATTACGTTTACCAGCGATTAAGTGTGCAGTGTAAAGAGATAATGAATTTTTACGTGAATCCCACGAGGCGGATTAAAAGGAAAGAAAAGGAACAAATTGCTGCTTTATATGAAAAAATGAAGCTTATTGTTGCAAAAAGCTTGGACGAGACGTCATAAATGTAGTTAAGTAAAACTTTTTAATTTTTTAGGACTTTTAAATTTTATTTGTGGCATTGCATCTTTAATATGTTGTATGGCATAAAATGTTTGTCTAAGTTTTTTTAGCACAGAAGTTGCGTTCTTCAATTTTACCTTAATTAATCAAGCAAATGTCGAACTTTTACTTGTAAAATAACTTTAAATAAATAAAATAAAATTAAATGTTTATTGTTAAAAAATAAAAACAGCAAAAGAAGAAAAGTTACCAAAAACTCCACTGTAAAAACAAAAACATCAATAGCGCGCTTACACGCCAGCATGCCTTTACGACTTTGCTTATAGGAGAAAAAAGCGTTTCCTTAGGATACAGAATCCTCGGTCTACTTAAAGACCATATCTCACCTTAAGTGAGTGCACAGAACAACATCGCCTGGCTCGATACACCATTTAAGAACACAACTCAGTTCAGCGGGGCGATACAGCAACAGTATCATGCCTGACCTCCCCCAGGTCAAAATTAAAA